GGGGGGGGCGGGCAATTTTTAGCTGGTAGAGTAGGAATACTTAAATAGAGGTTTACAAAATGGGAACCAGGTAAAGCAGGGTCAGTGTAAGCTGTTAGATAGCTGTTGAATACACGGACATGAGATGGTCATCTTTTTCATCAATGATGCAGAAATATATTATAATTTACACATGACAGAAATTAAGGGGACGCGTCAAAAAAAATACCTTTTAATTGCCATGAAAGAAACAGAAACTCCTGAGCTCCCTCGTGTGGGCTAATGCCTAAGGTCACATGGCCCCTTGCTATCAGGAGCATTGTGAGCATTCCATGTCACTAGGGAACACACAGGGCCGGTGCAACCACTAGGCAGCCGCCTAGGGTGCACTGCTGCCTGGGGCGCAGCCTCGACCACTCACCTACACCCCCCCCCCCCACGGCACCTCCATCTATTTCAAATTGCAAAAGCCAATAGCAGGCTTGCTATTGCACCCGCCCACTATGAAGAGGAGACAACTTTCTCTCTCAGGTCCGCTCCTCTGCTCAGTGGGTGGGGTTTTAATAGCCAGCCTGCTATTGGCTATATCAAATTAAATTACATCCTCCTGTCGCCTGCAGAAACTGGCAGGAGAATGGGGCTGCGGGGGGGGATTGGGGATTGCGCCGCTGGAGGGGGGCTGGGGGGTGCAAGTAGCTGGCCTTGCCTAGGGCACAAAATAGTCTAGCACCGGCCCTGGGAACACAGGAAGTCTGTTGTTTTCAGTTACACAGACCCTGTCTGCTAGACTTGCATTAAGATAAGAGGAGCTGCCAGGTGCAATTGCTGAGCGGTACTAGTGAGTAGGAAACATAGTCTGCATATGACTATCCATAGTAAACAATACATGGAAATTAGGTTTTCAAGTCCGTAACCTTCACGTGTGTAACTAAAATACACTTTATGGTGGAAAATATGTGGATATCTGGCCAACACACCTACCTATATGACCAAAAGTATGTAGGTATCCCTCCAAATTACTAAGGATCAGGTGTTTCTAGACGCTTTAGACAATTGTGGGCTTCCAACCTTATGGCTACAATATGGTGAAAGCCCTATTCTGTTCCACCATGACTGTGCCCCCTCCCAGCACAAAGCCAGCTCCATAAAGGCATGGTTAGATGAGTTTGGGGTGAAGGAACTTGAGTGTCCTGCACAGAGGCCTGACCTCAACCCTACTGAACACCTTGGGGATGAATTGGAACGAGGATTGTGAGCCAGGTCTTCTCATCCAACATCAGGACCTGACCTCACAAATGCTCTTTTGGCTGAATGGGCACCAGTTCCTGGAGTTGGGTTCATATATGTACCACTGATAATCTTATGGATTATTTTATTGATGTAATTCCTGTTTGTGGAACATTTGGGTTTATATCTAGTGTGGTATCTGTATGCAATATTATATTTATATTTTTATTATTATTTGTTCATTATTATGTGCTTCATTGATGCTGTTTTTCAATGTGCAGTTGGTTCTGTTTTGGTCATACAGTATATGTGCAAATGACTCTACATCACTTGACCTTCATATGTATAATCTTTATATATAACTTTATGTTAGTATTTGTCTTGTAGCCCCAATGAAGGGGGGGTGTGTATGGCCCCCCAAAACG